GCTCCACGCTGCTTGTAGTCATAGTGCAGCAAAGCGATTTGAAGCAGAGGAAGAGACAAACGGTAGATACATGAGGGGGGGGTACCATATATATATATATATATATATATACAAAGTTGTCTCTGCGACAGCCTGCTCGAGGATGGCTAGACGCAGTTGCCTGGCCCCAGAGGGCCGAAGGAGCAGAAAGCTCGGTGATGCCAAAAATCCAGCCAGCGAAGAGCCCATAGATACCGAACATCCAGTCACGTAGCACAGCGCCGTGCGGTGACTGAAAGAAAACCTGAGGAGAGCTGCAAAAACTCCTGATTCGAAAGCGAGGTGCTAACAGACACCGGTGCGGTACTCCAGAAAGTTGTGAGAGCACGAAGCCCCCAAGACCTGTGCAGGAACTGGTGACGTCCATCGCAACGGCGCATGGCCAGCGACCGTCACAGAACCAAGTATAATCTCAGCCTCTTCCTGCCAACAGCAAAGGCGTGAAAAACCGGGTGGGGCGGGCGCACACGGCAGGCAGCCGGTGCAGCGCACGACACGGGTAGAGCCTAACAGCCTAACTGAGACACAAAAGAAGCCGAACAGCTAAACCGGCCGGGAAAACGCGGTGGGGCGGGCGCACACGGCAGGCAGCCGGTGCAGCGCACAACACGGGTAGAGCCTGACTAGAACCCAAGGGAACCCAAACGAGGAGCTCACCGTGCAGGGCAATGCAGCGATGCGAGAAAGAAAACAGGGAGGGGCGGACGCACCCGGTAAGCCGGTGCAGCACTCGACACGGGTAAAGGCTTACAGGCCAAAAGAACCCTCACTCCCATTCAGGCCGGTTCGGTAGCGTGGCCCTCAAGGCTTCGCAAGCGTGGTACTGTCTGCGCAAAGCCGCCCGTTCCCAAGCCTCGGCCTCCTTCGTGGCCCGAAGCCAGGTAGAGAAAGCTGGTGAAGCGAGTCGTCTCCGACAGGCGCTGAGTGCAGCCTTGTCGGCAAGCTCGTTGAGTTTCCTAACGGAAGCGGTGTCGAGGACACCGTGCTGCCAGTGTGGCTGCTTGCCATGGCTCGGTACCCAAGAAAGAGTCGTAGAGCCGAGGAGCGGCCACAAGGCTGTTCGCGTGGGAGGAGGTCTGTGCCCCAGACGAGCCCTGTGGGCAAGCTTCGTGACTGCGAGGCAGTCGCTCACGATGTGCACCGGGACGCCAGTGTCAGCGGCAGCCTTGCAAGCGATCGCAGCCGCGTAAAACTCAGCGGCGGGCGCTGACTGATCCAAACCCGGGAGTGCGTCAGCGACGGGATCACAGCCTTGCACCACAACACTCCAAGCCGCACGACGAAGCGCGTGAACCTTGCCGATGCAACTGCCGTCAGTTGCAACAGTGACCTGAGCCTGGGTTTGCGCAAAAGCCTGCGTGAGCAGCGTGGCAACGCGACCAGCATCGTGGAGCAAATTGCGTTCAAAGCAATCCGAAGGGTGCTTAACACAGGGAATCAGGAGCCGGAGCTCTGCATCATCCGCCGGGTAGCGAAGCACGGAGGCGTGTTGCTGCTGAGGACATCGCCAAGTGATGTGCTGCCGAGACGGCGTAGCCTCACCGCAAGCGCAAGTGACGACAGAGCCGGTGGCACCGGTAGCGATGTGGCCATCGATCCCGGCAGCCAACGCCGTACGTAGGGAGTGCCTATGTGCAGCCCGTTGCGAGCGTAGCCACACCTTGTGCTCAGCAAAACAGGGGTGGTGACTGTTGTACTTCAGTTTGCAGTTGTCGTCGCAAGCGCGAGACTCAGTTTGCCAGAGGGCTTGTTCCCATCCGAAGCGGGCCGCCACTTTGATGGTAGCCACACCATCCCAAGCCAAGTCAAGGACGCCAAGCGGAGTCTGGAAGCAGGAGCCGCCGGCACGTGTCCAACCCCACTTGTTAAGAACCTCAACTAGTCTGTCAGGCTCAAAAACCCTAAGTCTTAACGCGGGCTGCACGGGCTGCTGCGGGTTGGGGTGCCTGCGCACCGGACGTGAGAGCCTGGGTCGCGCCGGGAGACCCTTGCGAAGGCGCCAGAGCTCGTGACGAAGAACCGCAAAGTCTAGCTGGAACTCCGGGTCAAGTTCAGGACCGAGAAGACCGGCCCACAGGAGAAACCTGGAACGGCCTTTGACAGGCTTCATGACCGAAAGCTCGATCTGACGCCTCCACTTGCCGAGCACAGACTTGGAAACCGTGTGCCATGCGCCGACGTAGCTGAAAAGAGACAGCACGGCCGCCCGAATGATTCTGCGCTTCTTGTGCCAATCAAGAGAAAGCAGCTTGACACGGGTGAGCCTCTTCAGGACCTTAGCCGCCGCTTTCTCGTTGAGCGGCGTTCGCCTGCAACGCGTAAGGTTGTAAACAACCCCGAGCAGTTTGAAGCGCCCGGACACGGGCCAGTCAAGCTGGCGTTCTTGAAGAGTCCGCCTGAGAGTCCTCTGCTTAGCAACCCCCGTAGCGAACCCTTCACACTTAGAAAGGTTAAGCCGAAACCCACAAGCCTCGTCAACCTCTGCAGTAGCTTCGAGAGCCGAGGCAACGACCTCGCAAGAGGTGTCCGTCCAAGCCGTGCGGTCGTCGACGTAAACCGAGCAACGGATGCTCGGCGCCTGGTGGCAGATATAGCCACGCCAAAGGGTCATGATGCCCGCCAAAAGCCCGCATGAAGCGGGGCAACCCTGTAGGAGGCCGCGTTTGCAAGAGAAGGCTTCAGCAGCGACCGCCCCGTGGTACTCAAACCGCCTGTTCGAGTCACTGTAAAAGACACCCAGGAGCCTCACCACAGCAAGAGGCGCCCCCTGACGCTGCCATATGTGTAAGGCTTGTCCAGGCACGACAGTGTCGAAGCACTTCGACACGTCGAGCTTCACACCGAAAACACAGGACCGGTTGTTAAGCGCGTTAACAATGTCGTCATGCAAGGTGGAGTGCGCGTCGTCAGTAGACTTGCCCCGAAGGCCCCCGCACAGCTCGGAAGGCAGCCAAGCTTCAAGCCAAGGGTGCAGTTGCTGCATCACAACGGTAAGCCCGATTCGCCAAGCCAGGCTGGCGACGGAGATCGGCCGGTAGCCCGCCTCCCCCTTAGGGACAAGAACACACCTGATCTGGAGCCAGGCATGAGGCATGACCGAGGTGTTGTAAACGACCTGCCAGAGTGATGCGAAAGCTGTGAAAAACCCTTCGGGGAGTAGAGCCCAATGGGCTGGCTTCCAGCCGTCAGGTCCCACGGCCTTGAGACGGCCCCGCTCAACGACCCGACGCAGGGCGCCAGCAGTAAAAGACACTGCTTCACACTGCCTGCCAGGATTCAAGTGCTGCTGAAAAGGCAGTATTTCGGCAACGGCAGGCATCTGAGGGGGATTCCAAACCTCCCGCCACTTAGACTGCACGTGCGAC